TACGATTACGGCGATGGCGACAACTACGACGACGACGACTACTACTACCAGACACTACGACGACGACGTTTTATTAATACGACTACGAACGTTAGTAACTACGACTACGACGACGGCGACGACGACTAGTTCTATGACTACTACTACTGCGGCTACTACTGTTACTACTATGGTTACGACGTCTACATATGCTGCGTCGACCACCACCTCGACTATTCATACTACTGCTTCTACTGTTACTATTACGACTACTATGAACTACTATTACTGCCCTCTGCTACGATTACCACTACTACTACTACTACTCCTACTACTACTGTTGCTACTGGTACCGCTACACCAGCGACTACGACTATTACGGCTAGTAGTATCACGATGGCTACAATTACTAGTATTACTACGGCTACTACCACTACTATTACTACTACTACTACTACTACTACTACTACTACTACTTCTACGACTACTACTACTACTATTATGATTACCATCTGTACTACTACTACATAATACTACCACTACTACTGCTACTACTACTGCTATTTACTAGTTTTGCTAGTACCGCTACTGCTACGACTACTACTACTACTACTACTACTACTGCTACTACTACTACTACTACTACTACTACTACGACTACTACTACTACTACTACTACTACTACGTCTACAACTACGACCACCACTACTACGACTACTACGACTTACGGCTGCTACGACTACCGCGACGACGACTATCACCACGACTACTACGACCACGGCTACGACTACTGTTATTATTACATTCGTACGCTGATTACCCTACGACTACGACGATTGTGGCTATTACTACTGCGACTACGACTACTTTACTGTTCATTATTGCTACGACGACTACGACTACGACTATTACTTCTACTACTACCACAATCACTATTACTACGGTTGCTATTACCACTAGTTCGTTGACGACGCCAACAATACTACGACGGCTACGAGTATTGCTACGACCACCACTGCTACGACGATTTTCACGACTACTTTTACCACTCCTACTACTACTCCTGCTACGAGTACCACTACTACTTCTACTACTACTACTACTGCTACTACTACTACTACTACTACTACTACTACTACTACTACTACCTGTGCGATATTATTACTATTATTACTACTACTACTACTACTACCAAGACCACGGCGACGACTACGATCGTAATTCATATGGTTCTTTATATGACTACTACTACTACTACTACTACTACTTCTACTACTCATATCACCTTTTACTTAGACCACTACTCCTCCTACTACTACTACTACTATTATTATTACTACTACTACTACTACTGCTGCGACTACCTATACTACTACTACTACTACTACTACTACTACTACTACTACTACTACTACTACTACTACTTCAACTACCACTACTACTACTACTTCGACGACTACTATTACTACTACTACGACTACTACTACTACTTCTACGACTACTGCTACTACTACTACTGCTGCGACTACCCCTAGTATTACTCCTACGACTACTATTATTTTTATTGCTACTACTTGTGCTACTACTAGTATTACTACTACGATTCTTTCCACTACTACTACTACTACTACTACTACTACTACTACTACTACTACTACTACTACTACACATCTACTGCTGCTACTGCTACTACGACTACTACTACTATTTCTACTACTGCTATTACTACTACTACAACCACCACTACTACACTACTACTACTACTACTACTACTACTACTACTACTACTAGTACCACTACTACTAGTAGTAGTACTACTACTTCTACTACTACTACTACTACTACTAATACCACCACTACTACTATTATTACTACTACTACTACTACTACTACTAGTAGTACTACTACTACTACTACTACTACTACTACTACTATTACTACTACTACTACTACTACTACTACTACTACTACTACGACTACTACTACTACTACTACTCCTACTACTACTACTACTCTTTCCTCTTCCCCCTCGACACCCTGCGCGTTTTTCTCACGGCCTTCCTTAAATCACTGGAAGTGGCCCATCATGAGCTCCTCCTACAAATGTGATGTAGAAAACGGCTTTCACGCAATGCCCGAATGCGATTTCGTGTTGGACAGCTGATCCTGGGGCCTCTCTCCTCTCCCATTTGTCCTCCTCCTCCCCTCCCTCACTTCTCCTTTCCCACACCCTCCTTGTCATGTGTTTGATGAGCTTATGATCAGTGTAATTTTCCGAAGTTGCGCATTCGTGGCTTTGCTGTGGGGTCCTCACCGTCGCAGCCTTCCGAAGTCACGAACTTGTGGCAGGGCTAGTTTGTCGTCGTCAGCGTCGTCGTCGTCTTCGTGCGGCGACGACCTCTTCTCTCCAAGTCCCACATCCCACGTGCGACTTCCGGGGGCGAACCTTTTGTTCCCAACCATCCTGTTGTGTCGGGCCGTCGTTTTGAAAAGACGGTGCCCAGCGTTCCTCCTCCCGCGGCCCCCTCCCTCCTCCATCATCATCGTCATCGCCCGCTTCAGCACACCCCTTACACGCTTCGTGGCCCCATAGGGAGCTCCACCGAAGGCTCCAGTGGGCAAGGGGAAGTTTGCAGGCAGTTCCACCAGTTTTCGGCGCACCCCTCACGCGTTTCGTGGCCCCGTAGAGAGCTACACCGGAGGCCCCAGTGGAAAAGTTCCCATGCAGCTCCACCTCCACACGGTTCGTGGCCCCCTAGAGAGCTCCACCGAAAACCCCAGTGGGAAAGTTCGCATGCAGTTCCCTCCCCGATTTCGGCGCACCCTTCACACGGCTCGTGGCCCCAAGGGAGCTCCACCGAAGGCCTCAATGGGAAAGGTCGCATGCAGTTCCGCCCCCCATTCCGGCGCACCCTTCACACGGTGCGTGGCCCCGTAGGACGCTCCACCGAAGGCCTTAGTGGGAAAGTTCGCATGCAGTTCCACCTCCAGTTCGTGGCACCCCATCATACGTTTCGTGGCCTCAAAGGAAGCTCCACCGAAAGCCCTACTGGGAAAGTTCGCATGCAGCGCCACCCCCCATGTCGGCGCACCCATCGCACGGTTCGTGTCCCCTAGGGAGCTCCACGGAAGGCCCAAGTGGGAAAGTTCGCATGCAGTTCCACCCCCTATTTCGACGCACCTTTCACGCGTGTCGCGGCCCCGTAGGGAGTTCCACCGAAGACCCCAGTGGCAAAGTTCGCATGCAATTCCACCCTATTTCGGCGTACCCTTCACACGGTTCGTGGTCCCGAGCTCCACCGAAGGCCCCAGTGGGAAAGTGCGCAAGTAGTTCCACACCCAACTTCGGCGCACTCCTCACACGGTTCGTGGCCCCATAGGGAGCTCCACCGAAGGCCTCAATGGGAAAGGCCGCATGCAGTTCCACCCCCAATTTCGGCGCACCCCATCACACGGTTCGTGGCCCCATGTGCAGGCCACAGCGGAAACGTGCGCAAGTAGTTCCACGCACAATTTCGGCGCACCCTTCACACGGTCCGTGGCCCCATAAGGGGCTCCACCGAAGGCCCCAGTTGCAGGGTTCGCATGCAGTTGCACCCCCGCGTCGGCGCATCTCTCATATGTTTCGTCGCCCTATCGGGAGCTTTACCGACGACGATACGCCCCGTTACGGCATTCACAGCTGCATGTGGTTGGGTTCTTCGCTATGCTAATTTCCCCCCGGGGTCCCGAACTTTCTTATCCCCCGGGTGTTAGTTATTCTCAGGGGCATCGGGTGAAGGCCACGGTTGGCCTGTCTGGGAGGGCGAGCTAAAAACGTCCAGCACCTGGTGGCCACCACTTGTCACCCAGCCGTTGACAGCAGCGCCAGGCGTACCTGGAGGGCGGACGAGAAGGGGGAGGACGGGGAGGAGGGAGGGTTTACGCTTGACCCATGCAGGCCAACCTTCTCCTGACCCCATCAGAAGGTCAGGCGATCGCAAAACATGGATCGAGGGGGCGTGGATTGGCGACGGGTCCCGTTTCCATGGGAAATCGCGGATTTCCGCCGCCAAACGAGGCGGCACTGGCCGCATTTGGGGGAGGGCACCTCCCCCGATCGGTGGATCTGGCGACCGCGCTCAGGCCAGCAGAAGCCCGGGCAAACGACAGAGGCACTTCCTGCGGAGCAGCTGCAAGTCGAGGCCGCGCCCCCCATCTCAGTCAGGCGCCCAATGACCCCCTTTACGCATCAAGCGTAGGTCCTCCCCTGAGGGGAGGAGGTGCAAGGAGGGAAGGAGTAGGGGGAGGAGGAAGGGGAGGGGGGGGAGGAGAGGAACTCGCCCGCCAGTCCCTATGCAGTCCAATGTCTACTCGAACGTCATCTCTGATAACCTGGGGGGGTGCAACTTGTATACACCCCTTTCTGCTTGCTAGCGCGGACGAGCCACACGCGTAGGCAGATGCAGCGGCTCTCCGCCGGCCTGGCTTTTGAACACAACGGACGAAGCATACAACCAGACAGGGCGGCTCTCGCACGTGCTAGATTCTCTTGCGGATGAGTTGGAGGAGGCGGGGGAGGCGAACGAGGGGGTGGGGCGATGGGGGTGGCCTTCTGAGAAGACAGGTGACTTCTCGAAAACCCTGCTGCATCTGGGAGGCCTTTTCGGAGTGCTCTGAGCCCTTCTGAGAGTCACCCTGCGCTGTCAGAAGGCCTCCCCTCGCCCGTGTGCCCCAGCCTGCGCTCCCCGCGCTGCCCGTGCCCCAACTCGCTTCTGGCGCGTCCCGCCCGTAGCCAGGCCGGCGCCTGCACCTGCTTCGGCTCGCTTGCCCTTACAAGTGCCCCCTCGCTTGAGATCCGACGTTGCGAAACAAAGGGCAACATCGCGAAACATCGCGACCAGAGCCCCATGCCCCATCTTCCTGCGGCATGTTTCGGCCGGGTCGATCCGTGTGTGCTCTGGGGCCTGGAACCGGGCGAGCACGCCCCGTGTGGCAAAATTTGCAGCGCGCGGATCTCAGTGTTCGGCTCGCCACCAAAGGTGGGCGGGAGCGCACGAGGAGTCCCGCCGGGACGTGCGCCTTCTGCTGCGCGCGGACCACTTCCAGACGTCCGTCGTGCACGACGGCGACGCGCACGGCGCGGCCCGGAGCTCGCGCTGCGGAGGCTGGAAGGAGGCCTACGCCCTGGGCCACCAGCTCGGCGACGGCATCTCCGCCAAGGTCTTCCAGGCGGAGGCTCTCTCAAGGGTAACGTCTGGGGGCGAGCAGGATCAGGGGGGGACGCCTCGACCCCCAATCGCCAGTTCATCGCCGACGGGGGCCCGATGTCCCACCCCGCCCAGGACCGGGGGGACTCGCTATCGAGAGCATATAGCTCATACGATATCGGCGATACATCGCCGATTCCTGGTCGATGTTCACCCCCCCCTCAGGGCTGGTCCCCTCCCAACGTTGCCCCTCAGGCTCCCGCGGGCGAGTTCTCCGGCCAGTCCGGCAGCTTCGAGCCGGGGCTGTTCGAGAACAGCTGCAGAGGACCAGGGGGACGACAGCGAGGGGCAGTAAACGTGGGGGGATCGAGGATTGCCTGGGGACAAGCAATGACATTAACACTGACAACTCGGAGTGCCGCGCGGATTCTTCGGATCGGCGGTGGGCCCCCCTCTCTTGCGCGCGGGGCGCGCCAAGGGTGGCGCCGGAGGCGCCGCCCGGGGGGGGCTCTAGCGCCGATCTGAGGAGTTCGCACCGACCTCCCAGCTTTCACATGGTTATAGCATGGTCTGCTCCCGTGCAAGAGGTGCACGAAAAGTGCGCGCTTCTTCACCTCCACGTTTCTCAAGGGCGTCTCAGAACGCCCCTGCCCTGGTGTACGAGGCGCTGTGCGCTGCACCTCCTGTGGGCTCACAGGGTGAGCCGTGCATATCGCGCGTGTCGCGCGGCATCCTGGCGGCCCTCTGGCCGTTGGGAGTTCCCAGGAGGTTTACGGACCGCGCACTTGTAACCCAGGGTAAGGGCGTTTATGCATCCCTCAACGTTGACTGCCCCCTATTAACGCGTTGCCCCAGAGAGGAGCCGTGGGCCAGTGCCTCCGGGACCGCGGCCGGCGGGTGGCGGTCAAGCGCTTCCACCGCGCGGGGCTCGGCAGCGCCCCCGAGCGCGCGCCCGGCTGCTTCGGCAGAGGAGGAGCCAGGAGGGAGGACGGGGAGGTTCGGCATCGTTTAACCAATCCCCATCCCCATCCCCTTCGAGACCCCAACCAAATTACCACCCCAATTGGGGATAGACCCCTCGACACCCGAAAGAAGCGACATGTATCGCCATCTCCGGGGGCAAATCGGCCAGTGGGGCCCAGGCCACGCCGCTGGGGATGGGCATCGGTTAAGCGATACTCAGAGGCGGCAGAGGAAGAGGAGGAGGAGGAGGAGGAGGATCGCCGGGCAGCAAATCACGGGACCTGTGTGTACTCTCGAAAGCCCGCCTTTCGAGTGCACTAGCGTCGGCCAGTGTTTGGTAGTCAGTCATTACGAACCCTCCCCTCGCTATTTGAAGCTGCCCCGCGCCTCCCCTTCAACAAAGGGTTGGCAGGGCTAGGCACGGACGCGGAGGGCCAGCCTCCCTCTCTTTCGGCCGGCCGGCGTACACACAAACACATACCGTAGTAGATCCGGTTAACGGACACTAAGCCATGGCGTCGCTTGTTCGCCGGGACCTCACCGCGTCCCTGGAACAAAACGTACATACAGATCATGAGCAAGAACATCATGAATCCACAAACCTGAAGAATCCTTTTGCCCATTCTGGCGATAGATAGGCAGCACACTGGTTATCAGCCGAAAGATCTTGCACGAAGCCTGGAGGCAGTGCCTCCCGATGTGAAAGACGACGTGTTCGGAACGCCCAAACAAGAGCATTGCTCAAAGGAGGCGAGTCAGATCGCCTTCCTGCCCCCTGACAGTGTCAGGGGCCTGGATTTAGTCTCTTCCACTGGATCAGTTAACGATTCCAGTGGCGTCCACTGGATTTACTCTCTTCCACTGGAGTGTCAATACTCCTGCGTCGGTTAACGATTCCAGTGGCGACCACGGACCGGGACGGCCAGATACTCCCAGGGAGGGCGTCGACCCTGCCGATGATGAAGGTGCGTGCACTGAGACAAGTCGTGACTGACTATACCGCCCGATCGAGGATGACCTACACTGTGCGATAGAACGCGATTGCAGAGCGCCGAAAAATCGAGTCGTGAATACATTGCAAGGAGGTCGCAGTCGACAGCGCGATTCCTGGGTAATGTGTAAGGAAGTCCTGCGCGAGAGCGCGATGTCCCAATGCACTGTGGGGATTTATCAGGTGGGAACTGTTGAGTTATCACTTCAGCCGAACAATTATTGCTTATCCCCCTTCTGGTGCCCATGGAGTGTTTCCCATTGATGTGCCCCTCCTGGGGCTCGCACTTCATTTTCTTTTGGAAACCTCAGACTGCCTCCCGTCAGGCCCCACTTCGCAGCAACAGCGGCTCCCTCCAAGGTCGCGCGGACTTCTTTACATTTTCGTCCAGGTTACGCGCGCTCTCGCGAAGTTTTTTTGTGGCAATGGGTTGAGAAACCGCGCCTTCGACACAAGAATCACGCTCTCGCCTTTTGGACTTCCCCCCGGGTTGCGTCGGAATCGCGCTATCGCTCGAGATTCCTCGCGATGCATGCAGGATTGACGCTTCGGCGACCCGCCCGCTCGACCCCGCCGTCTGGGCTGGCCCGCCCGACCCGCCTGGCAAGGGCTGCTCGCCCGACCCGCCTGTTTGGTTTGCGGTTTGTTTTCCTGCTCCCCCCCCATTTTGCTAGTCTTTCCCGTGTTCTATCCTTCTCCCTCCCCTTTCTTTCTTTCTTTCCTCCTCCCTCCTTTTCCCGTCGTCTAGAGACGCCATTTACGTGTGGCAAGCAAGGAACATGTATATGGATATGTAAATATATACATAGATGTTTATATACACGCATATACCCCCAGGGGGGGGCACGATCGAGGACGAGGCTGGCGTGTATCTATGGCTCGGGGTAGACATGTTGAGTGCCACGCGAGCATATAAGAGCGAACCGTCGTACATTGAATGATGTTGGTTGTATGGTTGATTTCGCTGTTATACACCAGGTTTCTACAACCCAGTCTGAAGCCCAGCGAGGAGGGAAGGGGCATGGGGGACGGAGAAGGATGGAACAAAATATAGAAATTAAAAAGGGACGGTTTTGAGCAAGAACGCAAGCGACAGGACCAAGCGGGCGGGTCAAGCAAGCGGCCTCTAACGGGCGGGTCGGCCGTGCGGGTCTAGACGCCTTGGTCGAGCAGGCGGGTCGTTGAAGCGTCAATTTTGTATGACGCGCGGATGTCATTATGGACGGCGCGTCTATTCTTACCTTTACGGGTGCGATTGCCGTTGCTCATATTGTTGTTATTATTCCTCCTCCTCCCACTACGACGACAACGTTTACTACTACTACTACTACTACTACTACTACAACTACTACTACTACTACTACTACTACTACTACTACTACTACTACTATTGCTGCTGCTGCTACTACTACTACTGCTACTACGACCATTAGTACTAGTAGTAGTTAGTTGTTGTTGTTGTAGTAGTTGTAGTAGTAGTAGTAGTAGTAGTACTAGTAGTAGTGATATCACTACTACTACTACTACTACTACTACTACTACTACTCTACTACTACTACTACTACACTACTACCTACTACTACTACTACTACTACTACTACTACTACTACCACTACTACTACTACTACAGTACTACGACTACGACTACGACTACTACTACTACTACTACTACTACTACTACTACTACTACTACTACTACTACTACTACTACTACCACTACTACTACTACTACTACTACTACTACTACTACTACTACTACTACTACTACTACTACTACTACTACTACTACTACTATACTACGACTACCCTACTGCTACTACTACTACTTCTACTACTACTACTACTACTACTACCACTACTACTACTACTACTAATACTGCTGCTACTACTACTACTACTGCTACTACTACTACTACTACTACTACTACGACTACTACGACTACTACTACTACTACGGCTACGGCTACGACTACGACTACTACTACTACTACTACTACTACTACTACTACTACTACTACTATTGCTACCACTACTACTGCTACTACTACTACTGCTCCTGCTACTACTACTACTACTACTACTGCTCTTACTATACTACTACTACTACTACTACTACTACTACTACTACTACTACTACTACTGCTGCTGCTGCTGCTACTACTACTACTACTACTACTACTACTGCTAAGGCGACGATGACGGGGTGGACGACTACTACCACTACTATTGTTTTAACTACTATGACCATTAGCATTACGAGTACTACCGCTACTGCTACTAGTAGTACGACGACGCCGACCACGACGGCAACACGTATACCACGACAATCACTACTACTTCTACTAGTAAAACGACGATTACTATTACAACCAATGAGACTATTACTACAACTACGAGTACTAGTTCGATTGTCTTATTACTACTAGTACTACTACTTTTGCTACTACTACTACTACTACTACTACTGCTACTGATACTACTTGTGCTGCTACTACTACTAGTACTACTACTACTACTACTACATCTACGGCTACGACAGCGATTTTTTAACAGTAATTCATCTTCGATTCACGACGATGACGACTACTACTACCATTATGTTTGCTGCTACGGCTATTCTTTGCGATGCTGCATGGTTAATGCTACGACCACTGGTAGTACTACTCTTGCTTTCTTGCTCAGATTGCCAGTCCTACTATTGCTACGAGCGTTGCTGCTACTACTTGTTACTGCCACTGCTGCTGCGATTGCTACTACTAGTGCTACGGGCACGCCCTTTATCTAAAGGCTGCCGCCTCTGCCGCCGACCCCAACGGAGTCGTTGTGGGTTCTTTGGTTCGGTGGCTGTGTGTTGTCATGATGCCATCTTAGGCTTTGTGTAGCGTTCGTTCCGCGAGTTGGGGTCCTCACTGTGGGTCTTGGGGGCTGGTTGCGGGGTGTTCTCTGGGAGGTTGGCCATTTGGGTCCCAACCAAATGGAGGGGCACCGAACGAAAAAGAGCGAACACTTCACGAGGAAGAGTAAGGTCGTATGCTCAGAGCGCATTGCAGTCGGTGTCACTGCACGTAGTTGCCAGGCCTTTCTGTGCAGTAGCAAGTGCCAGAAGAAAACGCCGAACTTGGTTTTCTCCGTGGAAGCCATCGCGAGCGCGAATGCTGGGCTGCATCGTGACTGGTGCCCTGTCGTCATTGGTGACGCGCCGTGCTCTGCCGTGAGAGTGAAGGCATTGGAAAACTGTCGGTATCGAAAGATGCTCACCAGCGGCCAGGGCGGCGCTTGTGGAATTAACGCGCTGTTCGGCACGGCCAGCCCAGATGGGCTGCGGCACGCCGATGGGAGAGGGTTCTTGCGATGGACGCTCGGCGAGACGGCAGAGCAAGTACGCCGAAATTGCCGCAATGCTCCAGCCCTGGATGAGCTGATGAACTCGGCGTGGAAGCATGTGATCAAGCCGCAGGCGGAACAGCATGCTGGTCTGAACGATCGGAATCTGGGCATGCTGGCGGAAGAAAAGACATTGTGGGAGAAGATAAAGGGGAAGCGCCATGTCATGAATGCCTGTGTGTGCGCCGTGAAGCGAGAGAGTGAAGCGTTGTCGATCTTCGAGCAGAAGCGCCGCGAAGTGGCTAGTGCGCTGGGAAACTTATGCGGGAACGACATGAAAGACATTTTTCTGCGCCCACTGCTGACTCACATGGGCATTCTTGACGATTACGAATGCAGAGGCAATGACGGGCAGTGGAAGATCGACGTCGTTGGCACAGACACAGCGCTCGGGCAACATTACCGCCGCGGCATCGTGGAGTACTGCGGCACGAGCAACATGGATTTTTTCCTGGAACACGTGAGTAACACGGTGGCTGATCTGCAGGACGCGAACGTAGACAGAGCATTCGGCGCTGGAGTAGGTGACTTTGTAGAGGTAGTGAAGGAGGCCCGCGTGCACGCGCCCGTCGTCGACGCCG